TTTGCCCAAGAAGTAAATCATAACTGGTGGTGTAGAGCACTCTCCAAGTCACTCGGAGCAACCCACTGAGATGTCTGCCGGCATCGTCAGCCAGCAAGGAGCAGCAAGGATGCTCGGAGCCAGCTGAGGATCCGGCCCGGCATGTTTTTCATGGCACAGGACTTTATTTTAATCGGCTTCCCCCACCCCCTTTATCTTCTGTGAAGCCTGGAGAGAAGGGGCGGGGGGGGGAAAAGCTCCCCGAAATATGTGTTTTCCCTGACCGGCAGCTGGAATTCCCTGATTACACGTCGAGCTCGCTTCGCGCTCGGGGTTGCGGCGGCGTTCCCTTACATCTTCGTGGCCCCGTCAAACTATTCCTACGGCTCTGCAGCGAGACATAAATTCTGGAGATTTCAGGCTTGGAGATGCGAAAGTCGTGCCGAACCACATGGAAATGATTCGCAGAGCTACAGCTATAAAAAGTAATTATATTGCTAAGGGGAAGGAGTGACAAGAAGCGTCCCCAAAAGAGACTTCAGCGGTGGTTGCAGGATCTGTCCCAGCTCTAAGAGGCTGCTGTGATCCCCAAGGCTAATTTATCCCTGCTACCTCTAACTCCATAAAATACGTCCCGAAAAGCGCGGAAGGAAGGAACGCGAAGGGAGGTTGGCAAAGGAGAAGCGTTGCCACCTTCCCCTTCGTTTTAACGAGGAGGCTTTCTTACGCTCTTAAAATTAGAGCTACTCCGCACGGGCGACCGGTGTGAGGGTGACTAATTCGGAGACAAATTAGGTCTACTTAACCGAAACGTGCGCCTTGACCGCTCGCTTAACGACCCTTCAACGCACGTCTCTCCCGATAGGACTTTTACCGCACCCCTGGCCCCGGCAGATGAAGTAATAACACGTTTTTGCCGCTTTTCCAAGTGGTCCTTCTGTTTTCACCCAAAACTTTCCCGCTGCCACGTGTGTCTCTAACTCTTTATCACGGGGAATTACTTTATGCGCGTTTTGTGGCAGATTTGTCCTTTGCGTGTCTCCTTCTCCGGAGCGTTTTCCTTGCACCCTCCCTTTCAAAGGGCTCTGAGCCTGAGCGTTTGCTGGCTGCAATGTGTTTGGTGTCGGCTGTGGAACAGATTTATTCCTTCCCAAGAAAAGACACGAATGTAAACAGAAGATCCAAAATGCATTTTGCTGGGCTTTTAAATGCACCAAGATGAAAACCCCCCGCTACAAGCCAATTAATGTAAATACCAAACTTTACAATCCTTCCTGTCAAGGAAACATATTTACATTTTTCTAAGGATGCGTATTAAAAAAAATAGGGCTTTTGGGACAAAAAGGGCTTAGTTCCAGTGTCACAACACCCCTGGTTAACTGCGCTGCTCTCATAAACTGTAGAATTAGGTTGTTCCCAGGGCCAGCAGAGATAACATCTGTTTGCTGCTTTAAGGATGGAGTTAAGTAGGATGCTAGCATGTTATTCTGGAAGCGGCCCTGGAGTCTGAAGGGGCAGTGGTAAGAGGGCTGTGCTTCACACGCATACGCTGCAGGCAGCTTCCCCAGGACAAAAAAAGATGGGAAAGGCGTTATTAGTGCGAGTGCCGGCCCGGGAGAGGCAAAGGGCTCATCCCAAGCCCCGCTGCGGGGAGCGGGAAGAAGGGGGATGCTGGCAGACTGGTCTTACTGGTACAGGGGTTAGGACTGTGTCATCCTTTACGCTTTGCTGATGCTCCTGACATCCCGGTTGGAGGGTGTTCTTCCTACTCAATGGGATAACAAGAAACATATATTCTTTTCTCCTGATTTTGTTTTGCGATTTAGAGCATCTTGAGCACATTGAAGGAGAAAGAGAAAGGTGGCTGCGAGGGAAGGGGCACAGGTGCTGGCAGTGAGGATGGGGAGATCTGGGGGAGGAAGGCTCAGCTTCGCACGTCTGAAGCATCCCGTCGCACTAATAGCGGCGCGAAGCTGCGCCTGCTTCTCTTGAAACTACCGGAGTGAGTTGTCCGTAATTACACGGAGCAGAACAGGAAAACTTCTCGTGGCCAGAGGAGCGAGCAGCAGTGACCTGCTGGCCTTCGCAACGGCCAGGTGGCATTTTACCAGTTCCCAAGGCTCTGATTTTCTAATCAAAAAGCTCCTCTAAATTTTTTTTTTTTTTTTTCTTTTTTTTTTTTTGACCACTCACAAGTTAGAAGAAACTACACTGGGCAGCCAAAGGGGAATGACCGTTCCTCCAAGGAGAAGGCCCTTCCTTGCCGAGCTCTCCCCAAAACCCAGGGAAAAGGGAGGATGGCCGTGGCAATCCAGCCCAAATGGAGCTCACCCCTTCGTGCTCACCCAACGTTTGTAGTGCTCACTAGACCCTAGCAAAGGCAGGAGCCCATCCCAAATTCAGAGAGCAATTTCTTAAGAGTTTGAGGGGTTTTTGCCCTTGAGACCGCACAGGCTGCTCCCCTGTTATGCACAAAATCTCCTCCGGCCAGGACAGACCCATGTCGAATCCGTGACACATCACCCAGCTAAGTTTGCCCATTTTAAGAGGGTTTCTCAAGGATCTTGTCTTTTTTTTTTTTTTTTTTTGGCTGGCAGACGTAATTTTTGTCACCATAAACGATACAATTTGACACCACACCGCACCACACCAGGCCATTTGTCAACAACGTTTTCAACAGTTCAACCGCACGCGTGTGCATGCACACACAGGCACAAAAAGGAGAGGCGAGGGGGAAAAGTCCGGGGGCCTGGGGAAAAATGACCTTCAGGGGATGCAACCACAGGGCAAAAAGCCACCTCGAACCACCGGGCTAGGGGTCGGGTTATGGCAAAGACGTCGAATATTGGTTCACTCTGAAGCAAACCGAAAACGCGTCGGGGTTTGGCTCTACGTCGCGGTCCGAAACGTCGCACTCCTTTTAGGTAGGGACAATCTGAGTATCTGCGCACAAAACCTGCCTCGTCGGAGCAATGCTAATAATAATGCAAGGGATACCTGGGGTTTTTTAACCGTATTTAAAAAAATCACTTTTACTGCTTGAAGTACTGTGTGATAGAGAGGAATGGTTGTATATTAGATAACCGTTTTAAAAACACCCTTGGCTAATGGCAGCACATCATTTAGGAAACAACAGAATAAATGCATTGTTCCATCCTGGCACTCTACTATTCAGCCAATCTAAACTACTGAAGAAATATGTGTTCAGGATATTTTACATCTGTTTTTGACAAGAAGCCTGGCTTTTTGTGCGTGTGTTTTTTTTAAATCTATTTGCTGCAGCTTTTCTAGCCAGATTAGCCTGGGAAAAAGCACTCTGTTTTATAAACGGAGGGTTTATCCTTTTAAAAAGTGACTCGACTCTGGCTTTTTTACAGTTGAAATTAGGGCACAGCATGCAAAAAATAGTAACACCAGCAATAGCCATAAACCCCACAACAGCAGCGTTACCTATTTAAATAAAACTAAACAACAGACAGCTTGTGCAATGGGTAGAGCAACCAATTTTCGAACAGCCGAACATTTGGGGGGGCTCCGCAGAAGAGCGCGTGGAAACCCTAATTGCGGCACCAAAACGCAAACCGTTTCGGGATGAGAGTGAAAGGCATTGAAGTGGTTTGTAAATGGTTTTAAGTCTGCGTTTTATACTAGTAAGCCCTGGTTGAACGCTTTTTGGCTTTTTCAAATAAGGTACTGTAGTTGCATCAAGGGTTGTTTTTTTTTAAAATGGGTTGTTTATGGCTGCTAAAACAAAGGTGGATTTGCCTCTTTAAAAAAAAAGCCTGGCCCATGGGCTGCGATAAACTTTCTTTCTGCCTTTAAGGAGCTGATTCTCTGCATGATGAAATTATTTCATTTTACATCACGCGCGACGTTACGAGGCGGGGGCAAATTTCCCTTTCGAGTGTTTGCTTGGCGAAATGGGTTCGCGGTCTCTGCTTTATGTCCCGAGCCCCAGAGAGCGACCGGCCGTATGCAAACTCTGGCTGACACAACGCAGAGCTGCTCTGTTTAATTAGCTTGAGATGAGGGTGTTATTAAAGGCCTTTTTTTTTTTTTCCCCTCCTTTCTTACTGTTTATTCCTCCCTCCCCAAATATTACAAAGGCAACATAAGAGGAAGTAGCTTTCTGCTAATGGAAAACGATGAGGAAGGGTTTAGTGCTGAGAGTAAATAGGAAACTAAGTCCCAGCCTAGAAAAGTCTAACACCAGCCTTCGCTTTACCCGCACTTTAGGGAAGGGAAACTCAACAAATGCAACAAAATTTGGCAGAGTTTCTTCTATCTTTGTTTGCTTTTTATTGTGAGAGGGGGAAGGGGCGCAGCCTGGGGTTGCAGCCGACATCTGCCGCTCATTTCTTTTAAGAGAAAGGCAACCTGGGGCAAACTCATCGCTGAAACCCGCTTGGGTCCCGCGGACCCCCTGGTCGCCCTCCAGCTGGGCGAGGACACGGCTGCCCCAGGAGCCGATGGCTCGGCACCGGGTTTTTTGGGCGCGGGGGCCCGTGGAGCGGGGCAGCAGCTGTTTCGGATCCCCTTGTCAGCCTGTTGTGCCGATCGCCTTTTCCTCTTAAAACCCTTCCCCGAAGCAGCACTTTCTGGCAAATCTCATGCAGCAATAGGGTTTTTTTTTCCCCACTCTGTCCCTCATCAGCCAGCTCTCAACACCAGTCCCCTCTCAGCTCCCCCATCCCTGCGGAGCAGCAACGTGCCTGTTTTTTTTAAAAAAATGGGGCATATCTGACTTGCCTGCCTGGAAGTTTCTTTTTTTTTTGTAATTTTCGCAGGCATGAGGGAGCGGGAGGGGACCGGACAGATTTGCACTCCCTCTCTCGCCTCTGGGTCAGCGGCCCCAAACCAGCAGCATCCCCACTCCCCACCAAGCCGTGCCACCTCTCTCCGTGGGGCAGGACCGAACCCCACGGCGAAGCCGGTGCAGGGAGCCGCGGGCGCCCCATCCCACGGCCGAGACAGATGCGAAGCATCATCCAGGAGAAGAGAAATCGGTACCTACCCCTTCGGCAGCTGGGCTCGCCTGGCCCGGGCGGTGGCTAGTGGGAGGCCGACATGGACCACGCTCCCTCCATCCTCCATACGGAGAAGGCATAACTCAGCCTCTCGTGAGCCACGTAACTGCAGCTCGTCATCTTACTGTCCATCTCGTCGCTCTGTAGCACCTGGTAGAGGAAGTCTATATACCGCGCCGCCAGCTTGAGGGTCTGGATTTTACTGAGTTTGTCAGAGGGCAAAGTGGGGATGATTTTCCTCAAGGCGGCAAAAGCTTCGTTGAGCGACTGAGTCCTCTGCCTCTCTCTGACGTTGGCCAGGATCCTCTGGCTCTGCAGTTCTTCATAAGATTGGGAGCTGGGACTGGACTTTTTCCCCCTCTTCCCTGGGTTGGGGCTGCCATCTTCGCTGGACTTCTTACTGTATCTTCTCTTCCTGCCAAATCTCTTTGGCTGCCGTT